ATTAGAAACGCGCGCGCGCGCGGCGGAAACATCAATCCCGCCGCTTATCTCGAAATAACAGCGACGCGCGCTCGAATAATAAAAGGGACGAGAAATTGTGTTGGGGATTGTTAATGACCCCGGCGGGATACGCGAGGAATAATGAATTTGGTCGATTGATTCGCTCTCCTCGCGCGAGAGACACGGCGAGTTTCTCGCTCGGCTGGTAACCTCGTTTATATCGCTGATGGCGGTGAATGAGCGCGGAGGCGCACCGTTGACGAGGTTGATCGAGACGATCGGCGAGACGCCGTTTTCCCGACGAGACCAGACGAGACCAGACGAGACCAGACGAGGAAGCGAGTCGCGATAATCCAGCGGCGGCGCAGGAGGTAAAGCGGCGACGAGCGAGTCTGCGAGACTGGTCCCTCCTTCGGCCCGTATTCCTGTTTTTCTCGTCTCGCCTGCTCGCGCGCGCGCGCGAGAGGATCCAGGAGCAAACCTGATTACGATCCACTTTGTTGATCGGCGCACGACGGACGGCGATCTCGTTGCCTCGTTCGCGATCGAGAAAAATGGCGCGCTCGCGAAGGGAAAGGAGAGAGAATCGGGATCGTCGAACCGGCACGGACGGCATTACGAACGAGGAAGTGGGATAAACGATTCCATCGCTAATTAGGCGTGCGACGGTGGCATCGCCGCTTTATCGAGCGCGCTCGAGCCAGCGGAAGGAGAATTTTTAGCCGACCGCGCGGGAGTGGCGCGAGCGTTTATCTCGCGGAAGAGATACACGGATGGCACACGCGCGAGCCGAGCCAATAATAATCGATATTTGCGCGAAACGCGAACCGCTTTCGACACACGCGCTGCTCTCCCCTGCGGTGCGCGATCGCGTCGCGATGAGAGCCGTTTTTTTTTTATCTTCCCCGGCGAGAAGTCGATAATTGTTGGCCGAGAGAGAGAGAGAGAGATGGAGGGAGGCAGATTGAGGAGATGCGATAATTTATGTACACACGCAACTTCACCACCAAGCGATTCCCCGCTTCGATTCGAATCTTTCAAGGAAGAAATTGGCCGAGCCGATCGCCGGTTCCGACAAGAACATTCCCCGACGAGACCGATTTCCCCGGCGCTGCATCGTCAAATTGCCAGCCCGCCTTGACGCGAAACATTTCCGGAGGAAATCTGACGCGCGCAACTTCACTGTAAACTAAAGCGCGTTGCAATAAAACATGCTCGAAGCGTGTTAAAGTGCGTCTCCATTTCAGACATACAGCAAATCAGCAAATTAAATTAACACGTATATGTACGTTAAAAGATCAAATGTTTATGTATGTGTTAAATATAATCGTTTGTATGTGTGTTAATGGTTAGGCGTATTGAAACAACACACTTTCAAGTGTGTTATGAGATATATTGTTACATCAAAATCAAAACACACATCAAGTGCGTTACGAAGATGAACTGAGGCAACATTGCAAATCCAAGTGTGTTATTTTGAAATGCACAATCGTGTGAATGAATGAATCTTCTTCCTACGCATTTCTTCCGTTTTAAGTCACGCGTTACTTAACATATTTAACGTTTAAACGTTATAATAATGAATAACATGTAATTAATGATTTAGCCTGTAATAATATGAAAGCAAGTTATTATCGTATTAATTTGTTCAATAGATGCGCAATACTTTCTTGAAGGCGAGTAGTAATCGCCGATTTTGTGTTTTTCTCACATGTATTTCTCTTAATACACACACGTGTGTTCATTTAAACGCGTGTTAACAAAATTAGCGTGTTATCGTGAACACATTTACTAGTGCGCCACGTGACTCGGTGTGTGTGTTATCCAATATATCATCCAAGTGTGTTCTCAGTGTATTTCGACTCAGTAATATCATTCTGTGTCTAAATAACACGCTCCACGTGTGTCGTGAGAAAAAAGTGTGTTTAAGAAGAAAGTAACACGTTTCTGCAGTGTGTTATTAAAACACACTTTTGTCGCAGAAAACGAATTGTTTTGTGACGCGCTTAGTGCCTTAAAACGCCAGCTAATGCGTCAAAAATAACACACTCAACTTTAACACATATGCTCCGATGTGCCTAGTTTTACAGTGTTGCACGGCCACATTCTCCCGCCGATGCAGATATTGCACAACGAGAGACGCATAGCGCGCGATCGCCGATCGCCGGAGATTAATGAATCGAGAGAGACGGGCGATATCCGCGCGAGAGCGCGTTTCCAGCGAGGGCGCGAGAGAGTAAAATTGCTCGCGGATTGTTGTTTGCGCCGCTCGCTTTTTCCAACGGCGGCGCAGCTGCGCGCCCACGAAAAAGACGAGATTGTAGGCGAGCGAGGAGCGAGAGCGAGAGAGAGAGAGAGAGAGAGAGAGGAGAGAGAGAGAGAGAGAGGTCTTAGCTCGAGTATGATATTTATTACGGACCGCCGCCGTGACACGCGCGATCGCGAGTCGTCGTCGGCGCCCCCCCCCCTCCCGCCCCGGTTGCTCCCGGGGCGCGTTTGAGAGCGCAATTTACGACGCGACGCTCTGCTCCGCACGGCCGCCGGATAAATCTATGATCGCTTTCGCCGTGAACCCAGAGAGAACCCGCGCCGATCGATGTCGCGGATCCCGAGCGAGTCGCGGCGGCAAATTAGTCGCCGGCGAGCCGTGTTTGCCGTCGTGCTCGCGGCCGCTCGCATCGATCCCGCCGTTCCGCGAAATCGCGGGACCATTAATCCCACCCGTGTACTGGCCGCATCTACACACACACACACACACACACACACACACACGCCGCGGACTCTGCTTTCTTTTTGCGACTGTTTCCCCTTTATAAATGCAACGGGACGCGCGTTCTGACCGCGCATTTTAAGGTGTTCCTTTTCTCCTTCTCCCTTTCCCCTTTCACGTCGTATAAAGTTCTCATGCGATATTATCTGGCGAGTTCGGCGCTCAGCGAGAAACACGGCCCCCGGTCGCCCTCCTCCCTCTCCCGACCCGCGCGTATTTCAGAGTAAAAATTATTCTTCCAAAAGAGGCCAGCGACACAACAGCATCGAGCATCGATCAACCGGCAAGCCGGCTGTCAGAGTCGGGTCGCGTTAGGTGAGCGGCGCGGCGCGTCGCTCGGATCGTCGCCGGACGAGTCGGGTGTCATAGAATTACCCGAGAGATGCCGTCCTAAAAGCAGCGCGTCGACAATTTTACGAGCTACCGCGCGTAATTACGCAGCCGGCTAACCCAGCGCGGCGGCCGTAAAGTGACGACGAGTGATAGTCGTTGGTGCGGCGAATTAGCAGCGCGACGTTTATTAACCATCGATCCTGCGCGGCGCGACACTTTGCGCCACTTCCGAGCGCGTCGGACCCCCTCCCGCCTCTCCCCACCGCCCACCGGTCGAGAACAGTTTCCCGTGCACCGTCTGAAATCGGCCGGATTTTTCAGCCGGTTCCCACGTGACGGAGCCGAGGAGAATCTTTGCCGTCTGCGTGGATTCGCAGCGTGTTGTGCAAAGACGCGACAGGCGAAGGAATCCAAACGCTCCGATTGCTTCCGTAGAAAGTAGGATGAACGGCTCTCGGCGGTATATCCTGGCGGAAAATGACGGCGGTAGACAAGCACGCACGCGCGGAAGACACTTTTGCGATTCCTTTTCCTAGACACGTACCGCGACGATATATAATAATATCGATATTTGTGCTCTCCCGGATAGAACGCATAGAGGATCTCGCAATCACCCTCCCTCCCCCCCCTTCACAGTTACTTTCTCTCTTCCTCGCTCGAGGTCTTCCCTCTTCCTCGCTCGAAATTTCCCGAAATTTCTTCGCTCGTCAACGGGATTAAAGGACCAACGCGACGCGCGCGTCGCAGAGTCGCGATAGCCGGCCGCCGCCGCCGCCGCCGCCGCCGCCTCCGACATCCGGCGCGCTCGTCCCTGAATGTCGTTCGCGTAACAGTAATCGTGCGCGATCTACGGAGACAGAAGGTCGAACGAGGAGGAAAAGGGAAGCGCGCAGCTGTGTGACGAGGACGAGGAAGAGGAGGAGAGAGAGAGAGAGAGAGCCCGGTGGTGCGCCGCGAAGAGGAGCGAAAAGACCTGACGCGCGGTTCAGAGTGGCACTCCCTGTCTGTCGACCCACGCCGACTATCTCGCGAGCTGCCACGCGATATTATTATGTGCACATGCCCATGTATCACGGACTACCTGACAGATCGGGCTCGCGCGCGTCCATACGGGAGAGTGCGGCTGCCTAGGTGTGGTTGATACTCGCGCGCGGCCGGCGTGTGTACGATAAAATAAACGAGCTTGTCTCTCTCTCTCTCTCTCTGCCTCTCTCTCGTTCGCTCGCTCTCTCTCCTTCTCCTCCTCCTCCTCCTCCTCATGTTCTCTTTCTCTCTTTCTGTCTGTCTGTGTATGTCTTTCTCTGTCTCTCGCAGGCGCTTTCGAAGCCCCTTCCATCTCGCGCCGATCTATCATTCCCTCTTTCTCTTCTCTCCTCTCTCGTTCCTCTCAGCTGCTCCGCAGCAACGACGCCTGCACCGGAGCAACTTTTAAGGTCACAGACCTCGGTGGCTGCCCCCTTTGCACTCTTCTCCTTCTCTCTGTCTCCTCTTTCCCCGTTACCGAGCGAAATGAGGGCGAGACCTCGCGGACCGGAGAAAATTTCTCACTGGGTCCTCTCTCTCTCTCTCTCTCTCTTCGTCACTGCACTTGAAACAGCGATTCGCGATACGACCGTCGTGTCGTGTCGAATGTTTTACTTGTTACAGCCGATTTAGATGGGAAGCTTGCCGAGACTAACTCGGCAATGTCGAATTATACTTGTTGGATTATTTGGTAGCCGTTTTGTATTAATTTGTACCATTGATTTTGAAGTTTGAACTTCGTAGCGTTTCGAAAAAGCGTTTGGAAATATGAAGAGCAAAACACACAAAATAAAATACTCCTTTTTATGGTAGAATCGGTCGCGATTTTTATACCAAGTATGAGTAGTTTATGACTATAAATTTCTGATTACAGATTTCGTACCCGTTGCATCCCTTCGGAAACTCCACATCAAAAACCTCCGACGACATCAGGCTCAAGAGAGACTTAGCAAAGTATATTTATAGTATACATATTCTAAATTAAGAAAAAATACTTTATCTATATAGTATATTTTATATCATATTGTATTAGAAATTTTAATATTGATTTTATTGTGTTTAATATTAATATCAAAAAATTAATATAAATAAAATAAAATTTATTGTAATCAATATTAATATAAATTTATTAATATTAGGATAATAAATATTATCCTGTATAGTTATATATTTTATATATGTGATATATGTTATGTAATATTGTATTATAATATACTATAAAAATGTAAATTTCTCTGGGAAAATAAGAATAAAAATTAAAAAATAGATATAATATTGAAATGTTGTGTTTTTCGTTTATTAACACCTCCATAGACATGTTTCCTTAAAAACATGCTTCACTTAAAAGCGTTTTATTAAAGTGAGAAATCGAGAAAATTTGTAGATTCTTAAATTTTCCGTTGTAATTTGATGCTACCTCTTTGCTCGTTACATTCTCCTGATACAAAATCGTCAAAATGGATAAAAATGAAAAATTTGAAATTCAGATTTGTATCAGGAGAACATAATAACCGAAGAGATATTCCAAGTCTTTGTGGCAAATTCGGTTTTCTCATTTTCACGTTTTGGTATCAGGTAAACATGATGACCGAAGAGGTATTCGAGATTCGGCCGGTAAATTTAAAATTTCTCAGTTTCTCCATTTTTGCGTTTTGGTATCAGGAGAACATGATGACCGAAGAGGTATTCGAGATTCAGGCGGGAAATTTTAAATTTCTCAGTTTCTCGATTTTTGGTGTTTTGGTATCAGGAGAACATGATGACCAAAGAGGTATTCGAGATTCGGCCGATAAATTTAAAATTTCTCAGTTTCTCCATTTTTGCGTTTTGGTATCAGGAGAACATGATGACCGAAGAGGTATTCGAGATTCAGGCGGGAAATTTTAAATTTCTCAGTTTCTCGATTTTTGGTGTTTTGGTATCAGGAGAACATGATGACCAAAGAGGTATTCGAGATTCGGCCGGTAAATTTAAAATTTCTCAGTTTCTCCATTTTTGCGTTTTGGTATCAGGAGAACATGATGACCGAAGAGGTATTCGAGATTCAGGCGGGAAATTTTAAATTTCTCAGTTTCTCGATTTTTGGTGTTTTGGTATCAGGAGAACATGATGACCAAAGAGGTATTCGAGATTCGGCCGATAAATTTAAAATTTCTCAGTTTCTCCATTTTTGCGTTTTGGTATCAGGAGAACATGATGACCGAAGAGGTATTCGAGATTCAGGCGGGAAATTTTAAATTTCTCAGTTTCTCGATTTTTGGTGTTTTGGTATCAGGAGAACATGATGACCAAAGAGGTATTCGAGATTCGGCCGGTAAATTTAAAATTTCTCAGTTTCTCCATTTTTGCGTTTTGGTATCAGGAGAACATGATGACCGAAGAGGTATTCGAGATTCAGGCGGGAAATTTTAAATTTCTCAGTTTCTCGATTTTTGGTGTTTTGGTATCAGGAGAACATGATGACCAAAGAGGTATTCGAGATTCGGCCGATAAATTTAAAATTTCTCAGTTTCTCCATTTTTGCGTTTTGGTATCAGGAGAACATGATGACCGAAGAGATATTCGAGATTCGGGCGGGAAATTAAAAATTCCTCAGTTTCCCGATTTTCGCGTTTTGGTATCAGGAGAAAACATATAATAAACGAAGAGATATCAGGAAATTTTGGCAGGATATGAGACATGAGGAAATATAAATGGAAATGGAGGCATAAGTAAAAAAAAGCACAGTTTTATATTTCAACATGTTTTTATTCTTAATCATTTTTTAATACATACAATACATATGATATATGAAACACGTTTAACAATATAATGTTACAATATAACAATATAAAAAAATACTTAAAGTATCAAATATATTTAACAATGGAATGTTAGAATATAACAATATAAAATATACTTAAAACATAAAATATATTGAACAATGCAATGTTACAATATAACAAAATAAAATATACTTAACATATAAATACAATATTACAATACAAAACGGTGTAACGCGTAACATAATATATATAAAAATAAAAGTTTTAAATATACACATAAATAAAGTGGGGAAAGAAATTGGATTTATGCGTGGATATTTTTAGAACTCTTATAAACATCTCTTGAAGCTCTTGTACAGCTTCCTTATAGAGATCGATAGAATTACAGCCAAACACACACATACGTACACACACACACACACACACACACACACACACACACACACACGAGCCCGACTCTTTCGCTCCAGCGCGGATATCACACACACGACAGTATCAGCGTCAGCGGACGCGAACCCGATATCTCGTTTCACCAATAAACGCAAAAATTGGAAATGCAAATGCACGTCGGCGTGCACCGCGGAGGTTAACGACCGGCTGACGAGGTCCGTAGACTGATTAGTCACCAAGTTCGCCCACATAAACTAGAAATAAGATACGCGGCAACACGTCGGGAAACTGCGAAATATCAAATAACGGAAATCCGTAGTGAGACCGCGGCGCTTCGTTTTGTTTTCCGTGCGAGAGCCGCGTGCGCTTATTATGCGCCCAACCGCCGCGTGCCGAATATGCGAAAGCGCTGCGATAAACGAGAAATAATCGCCGCGCCGCTTCTTCGATCAGCGACGCGCTTAGAATCTCTCATCCTATCAGCCGTCCGCGAGAATTCGCGCCGGCTGATAGATGCGCGCGATCGGTTGCTGTTCCGTTGGAAATACCGCGGGGGCTCCAGCAGCGCGAGTTTCACGCAAAATTAGCCAGGGAGCTAACAAAAAGCACGGCAAACGCCCGCCATGCTTCTTCAACATGCGATGTGTATGCTTGTACCGCGCATTTCGTCCTGGAATATCATCGACTTCGGCCGAGGCCGAACGCGCGGATTACGCGAGCGCAAACGTACGTAAAACGGATAAGTGACAAAGAAAGCGCACGAGAGCGGCGACGTGGCTGGACCATCGTCGTCTCATCCCTCTCGGCCACGCCGCATGCGCGCATCCACCCTCGCGTGCCCCAGCGAGTGAAATCTAACAAAGGAAACGGGCTACCGCGTATATCCTCTCACATATTGCCTCGCTAAGCGGATAAGGATATGGAACGCGCGGGATCCTCAAACGGCCTCCTGACGGCACAAAGGGAGCCTGATTGCCCGTGGATGATTTACCACGGCGCGTCGGCGCCCGCGACACTCCACGAGATATCCGTGGAGGATCCGCGCTAATAAAAGCCAGTGGGATATAACTCGGAACACGAGGAAACGCGCGCGCGCAGGGCTGCAGGGACGACGGCGTCGCGCGCGTGCGACGAGGTCGGGAGGCGAAGTGCCGCAGGAAGAAGGAGAGAGAGAGAGAGAGAGAGAGGAAAAAGTGATCTCATGGCGACGTGTGTCGCGACAACAGCCGGATGACGCGTCCGGTCTCGCGAATAAAGCGCGCGAGCTCGAGGCGCTCTTCGCGGAAACGTTGCCTCGGAGTTTACGGCGATCCACGTTTACGTTTCTCGATTCTCCTCCTCCTCCTCCTCCTCCTCTCTCTCTCTCTCTCTCTCTCTCTCTCTCTCTCTCTCTCTCTCTCTCTCTGTCTGCCCGTGGTTATTTACTCAGCAGGAGCTGCGACAGGATCGCGGAGGGTCTTCCCGCCCGCCTTTCTCTCCTACTCGATAAAAATGGCGAGAGAGAGAGAGAGAGAGAGAGAGAGAGAGAGAGAGAGAGAGAGAGAGAGAGAGAGAGAGAGAGACTTGACAGGAAAAGTCGGAAGACGTGTGTCGTTACGCTTATCGTAAGGATTGATTAACTAAGCAGCGTGGACAAGTAACTTGCCTGCAAAAGAGAAAAGCCTGACGTGAGGAGATGCGGACACACCTCTCCTCTCCTTCTCTCTGTCGCTCGGCTCGCGGCTGTTCCTCGCGAGAGAGTTTGCGCGATCTTTTTCCTATTTATATTTCTCTCCCGTGCGTAATTGCGCGAGCACTTTGTAAACGGCCATGTCTTGGCCACCCTCCAGCGCCATAATTCATCGAAGGGCCGGGCGCGAAAGGGTTACGCTAAAAGCATCCGAACGACCACGCTTTATCCTCCGGGAGGAAAACGCGGAAGCACGCATTCGCCGCCGGCGCCTCTCGCCCGAGGCGTTTCTTTGTTCGCCGAGATCCACCCCCCCTCCCTCCTGCCGTGTGGCCAGGCCGATTCGCCGACTCGTGATATAATAGAAGCGAAATAGCGGGGGTAAATGCAGGTAAGACATTCGGCCGTCCAAGCGTAAGAGCAGGATATCCCTCCTGGACCAACCGGCTATCTACTCCCCCTCCCCCTCGCGAGAGCGCCATCGAAGGGGCTGAAGCGCGTAATGAAAATAGCCCCTCCTAATTCGACGCGATCCCTTGACCGCTGCGCGGCTTTCTCTCTTCTTCCATCTAAAAATAACTCGCCGCCCTACCCCTCCCCTCCCCCCCCCTCCCCGACGGCGAAACCCCTCTCTCTCATTACGACCCAGTAATAACCGTTGTGTGCTATCCACGATCCGCCGTTCGTTCCTCCGATGGCCATGTATACGTAGCGACGCACGTGGGTCTTATTGTCGCACGGACACGTAGGAAGAATCCTGTTCTGCGCCGGCCGTTAGCGAAAAAAGCCCCGTGTCGTCGTGTCTTCTTGGCACACGTCCCAGCGCGTGTCGAACACGCGTCGTGCGTCGGAGGGAAAAAAAGAAACGCGCGAGACGTGCGCTCGCGCGGTATCGACGCGGCGGCGTGGCAGTGCTCGGAATTAGTCGCGCCTTCGAGGCGATTCCCGCCGATCTCGTCCCCGTCGCCGTCGTGTCGCCCCTTTGTCGTCGCTCGTGTCGTCTCGGCGATATGCACACGAGTGTGGTGGATTCACGCGTGGAGAGAGAGAGAGACTCGAGGACTGACGCGACACGGAGAGAGCGGCGTTCAAGCCTCGGGGGGGGGGGGCTGTGACAAAATCGA